TTTCTTAAAAGATTTCTATGCATACTGCAATACACTTTCACTTGCAGAATTTGATTCTTAGTGGCATAAGCTTATTACAAAATACTCTAAAACAGCTGGTTATCTTAACTCTAGCTTTATATTAGCAAAGAAAGGTGAGCTAAAGCATATACTACTAAACTTTTTATTGCTGGTATTACATCTACATCATGAGTTGAAGGTAAAAACTTTGTGATAAAAAACTTACTTTAAGGCTACCCTAACTTTTGTGAACTTGCTAATATTCTAGATATAATTATATAGTTCTTGTAATTTTTGTGAATAAGTTTCAGTAGATTTCTTTATAACTCTATTGATAAAATATATTATTAGTATTGCTGGTAATTATAGATGCAGACTTATGCTAATAATATAGCTAGAAGTTGTAACTTTACAGCAAATATCAATTCTAGCATTTTGATATAATTTTTAATTTGATTAATAATATATTAATTAGATATAATCATATATCTTCAAATGTCTGCATCTATAGTACCAATAGACAAATAGAACAATAGAATTTAAATAGAATATAATTTTATTAATAGAACAAAAAAATTGACAATACTGATTATTAAGCAATTAATTTTAGAGCAAGAGCATTTATAATAAAAGAGATCCAGCTCAGTAAATTACTTTTTATGAATCCTATTAAAATTAAATTATATTTTTAGATCTGAGATTATGTGATGAAGTATGATATATCAATTATACTAAATGGAATTATGTAAATACAAGTACACAATTGAATAGTGTATCTGCAGAATGTTTTTCTCAAATAGATTGTATTTGCAAAGAATATCTAACAGAAGAAATGCTTTCAAAGACACAAAATTACTTAGTCACTCTATTATTATTCTGAAATAAATAGTAATGAATTATCTGATAACAAATTTAATGAAGAAGATTTATATATACAGAAGGTTTATCTAACTTCTCTTCTAGAAGATTTTTCTTCAAATGATATTGTTAAGATATGAGGTCTAACAGTGCAACTGCACTTATAAAAACTTTGTTACTATTCTCTCAAATCACTCCTATTTGTGTATATGCATATTATTAATCAACTATAGTTTAGTTTATCAATATTTTTAGCATGTACTGGCTATTGATGATGTAGCATTTTTTTATATTACTCTAATATCTAGATGTTGGTATAAAACTGAAAAAAATACAAGATTCAGACTTAGATAAACAACCTTATATAAATGCTCATTCTAGACAACTAAATAAAAATTATTTATCTTGTTCAAAGTTTCTTTCTATGTATCAGATTATTAAACTACATAAAGATGATGTTTTTAGCTTAGAAGCTTGTTGTGTAATTCAAAAGTAATGTACTTATAGAGAAATATTTAATTTTGTCTAAAAGGCAGTACATACTGCAGTTGAAACAAGTGGTAATTCTCTTTACTGTTATAAAAGAAGCCTTAATAATTGGTTTGTTGAAGAGGATAATTAGCTCATATAAAAGATGATGATAGAGAGAACTTTGATTCTAATAAGGTTGAAAATCTAATTAAAAGACATCAGAAAAGGTGGCCTTCAACCAAGTGATTAAAAAGTAGTATTGAATTATCATGAATTAAAAATAAAAAATCTAGCAGAAAAGCTGTACAAAATAATTATGAGAAATATGAAGCTATCAGATATTATGCTTCAACTTGTAGTAAGTAGGTATGTAGAGTTATTGTAAAAATGAAATAAGCATAGTAGTATTCAATTTATAGTATTGGAATTAAAAAAAAGAATTTTTTTTTAAAAAAATAGTAATATTTAGATAGAATGAGTTGAACTAATAAGTTGATATTAATAGAATTTAATTATTTATTACTAATTTTTAAATTTGTTATTGGTTATTTCATTTTTTTTAAGTTTGTTTCAATAATAAAATACTTTAATTAGTTCTAATTTTTTTAGCATTTTTAATTCTGAAGTTTTTTTATTCTCAAATACCTATTTTGAGTTTTAGTATGATAATATTAAATAATAATCAAACTTTACGATCTCTACTAAACAATATTGAATTGAAGACTTTTAATAGTAGATTTAATAAAAATCTATATATAGCTGATTAGGTTAAAATTAACTTTATTGATTTTTTTAATTATGGCAAGAATCATTATAGTTAGTTTTTTTTTCCTTATTTTCTTTGAATTTTTAGATTACACACTAATCTTACAATTAAATTGTATAGTAATTACAGAATTACCAAATTTTGTATCATAAATTTTGTTATGTTGTGCTGATTATATATATATATATATATATATATTTTTTTTATCAGGTTTGTAAGATCTAGTCTTTTTGATACAATTAATTTAAGTTATAAGCTTTTACTCAAGCTAATACATTTATATATGCTAATAGATATATAAGATAATGTATATAATAGAGTTCAAATAGTATAAAAGAAATAACTAGCATATTTGTTATTTATTACAAGTTGTATGAATTTTGATGAATTTCTTCTAGATTTAAAATTTAAATCTAATTATAAAATGGCTAAGAAAAAGCAATTGTTCATCTCTAGCAAATGCCAGTATGCATACTAAAGCATAGGGCCCATGTTCGTATTATGTATTATGTTTTAATCAGACATATTCTGACACTTGCAGAGCTTTTTAGATTTCAGAATTGTTTAATTTTGTCAGTTTTAGAGATTGAATCTATTGATAAAATCTTTACCTGGATACTATTTGTTTACCTAAGTTATTCAAGTATAATGTAATTATTAAGTATATATTGAAATCTTATTGGTTACATTTTTGCTATGTGCACGTGATATATCACTGTCACCGTATCACCGTCGGTGACAAATAGATTTGCCCTTGATTAAATATTGTTTAGCAATGATTGATATTTTATTAATAGTTAATTTTGATCAAAATATTATAGAAATATCAGAAATATCATATTAAAATTTGACTTTTTTGGAATCTGAATATTCCTGAATAATTTATTTTTTTTTTATTAAGAAAACCTCATTTATGCTTCTAATAAAAGTTATAAAGGCAAAATTTCTGGTAGTTAAAACACTAATATCGGCCTAGTGGATTGCGAGATACGAGCGTTTTAGTCTTCGCAGCTATATTTACTTTATTATAAGCTGCGAAGACTAAAGTGCTCATATTTCACGATCCACTGAGCCGATTTTAGCATTTTAACTACCATTATGACCAGAACTTTTGTCTCTACAACTTTTTATTAGAAGCACAAATGAGTATTACTTAATAAAAATAAGTTATTTAGGAATATTCAGATTCCAAAAAAAGGCAAAAAATACATATCCCCACTTTTTATTACGTATGATATTTCTATAGTTCCCACGCGGGTCACGAATTAAATTTTAATTTAAAAGTTAAAAAATAAATAAATAAATATAATCAAACTTACTCCCTAATATTTAATGTAATTTGATTAAAATATTACTTAATGGTTAATATTAAATAAATGAATATATGTATTGAATTTACGAACTAGTTAATTTAATCGATTGAAATATTATTAGTGATATTTAAAGTTTTAATTTACGTAATAAATGTTTTAAAAAATATGGTACAATATTTGAGATGCTTAAAAATTACCCCTCGATGTCCTTCGTATTTACTGACAGTAGTAACATA